GCCAGGGAAAAAAGAACTTAATGGCCCCGGGACGCGCACGAGGGGGCGAGGAACTGTGGCAGAGACCCCCAAGATCCTTTCTCTCTTTTCTCCTTGGTAACTGAAATCCTCAGTTTTGCCTGGCGCTTGGCTGCGTGGCATAGAAACTACATTTCCCAGCTTCCCTTGCGGCTTCGGAGTAGCCATGAGGCTGAAGTGTGACCAGTGGGAGGTAAGCAACTGCAGTGGGTGTGGCTTCTAGGAGATGACCTTTGAGGATGGGGATGAGCATGTCCGTATGCTGCTGGATGAAATGTGGATAGGATGGCCGGAGCCTACGCAGCTGTTTTGTACCATGAGGGCAAATTTCTATGACAAGTATGGAGGAGTAAGATAGAGGAACCTGGATCCCTGATGAGTGTGGAACAGCCTCATCACCCTGGACCTCCTTTATGTGAGCACTATATGTTTTTTACCTTGCCTAAAGCTGAACCCTAGGCCAGGCAAGGTTGCTCACGTCTGTAATCCTAGCACTCCTGGAGACTGAGGCGGGAGGATCAATCAAGTCAGGAGTTCAAAGCCAGCCTGAGCAAGAGCGAGACCCTGTCTCTACTATAAATAGAAAGAAATTAATTGGCCAACTAATATACATAGAAAAAATTAGCCGGGCATGGTGGCGCATGCCTGTAGTCCCAGCTACTCGGGAGGCTGAGGCAGGAGGATGGCTTGAGCCCAGGAGTTGGAGGTTGCTGTGAGCTAGGCTGACGCCACGGCACTCTAGCCCAGGCAACAGAGTGAGACTCTGTCTCAAAAAAATAAAAATAAAAAATAAAAAAAATAAAGCTGAACCCTAACTCATAGATGGAAAACAAATACTCTGGGAGGTTCAGCTGGGGCCAAGATGAGCTGTGACTCTAAATCCAGCGGGTTCCTGAAGCAAGCCTTTCCCGTGCACCTCAAGGTGGGGGTGCAGGTGGGGTGAGCACTGGAAGACTCAGCCTGCCGCTGAGGGGTCCAGGGGTGTCTCAGATGAGGCCTCGGTGAGCTTCAAGGGGACCGTGACCTACACGCCTGCTCTGGCCTGTCCCTCTCCGGCAGGGAGCCTGAGGTGCCCCAGACAACGATGCCCATCTTGCACCCCCCGTCCTGAGACCCTCGCAGCTGGGTGCAAGGAGCCCATCCTTGCTTGCTTCCCCCCCGGGCCCTGTGGCCCATGGAGAGTGTGTGCGTGTTGGACGGGGCAGCCACGGTCCCCAGGGCCATTCTCTGTCCACTGTGATCCAGCTCCTGGTCTAAGCTTATCCCCTACACCTAGGGACTTGAGACTTTACCCCTGAGCCTCAGTCTCCCCACATGTCCCATGGGGACCACACAGGTAGCCTTGCAGGGACACCAGGAGAATTCCGTGGATGAGAGGTGAAAAGCCCCCAGGGGCGACCGTGGGCTGTCCCTTTAAATCAGTGATCCTAAGTTCCTCCACATCGCAGGGAGGGCTGGGTAACCCAGATTGCCGGGGCTGCCCCCAATTCCCATTCAGCAGGTCTCGGGGGCGGGGGCTGGAATGCAAGTCCCAGGTCAGGCGACCATCTTTTGAGACCCACTGGTTTAAACTAAGGCCCCTAAGACAAAAGACGTGGAATCAAGCTCCCCGTGAGGCCACCGCGCCCAAGACCAGGCGTGCTCGAGAGCCAGGTGTCTGGGTTTGAATCTGGCTTCAGTCTGGGAAGCCGTGTGACCTTGGGCAGGGCCAAGCGGTCTCTTTCTCTGAGCTTCGGCCCCTGGCCTGGCGCGTGGGAGAGCTAGAACCCGGCTCAGAGAGTGGACGTGGAGATGCGCCAGAGCGACGTGGCGCCCAGTGGAAAAGCGCCCGGCAATGTCCCTCTTCCTCCTCTTCCTCCTCTTCCTCCTCTTCCCCTCCCCCCTTCCTCACTGTCATCACCATGGCCACCATCATCATTCTGTGCAGGGGAGCACATTCCCTGCTTGCTCAGCAGACGGAGCAGCCCTGCTGTGCACCCCGCACCCAGTGGCAAGAGTAGGCGCCTGCTGCATACCCCACCCGGGACCCACTGCCTTGCCAGGGCCTGGCCCCCGTGCCCGGGAAGGGGCCCTCTGCCTTCCGGGCTCCGGCCGGTGCTGCCTCCTCCTCGACAGCTGATCCAGGGTGACTCAGAGGCCGCTGCAGGCACGTCACCAGCCCAGGGCACCATTGCCCATCAAGTGGGGACAGACCCAGGATGGGCCCGAGCCAACTCCACCTGAAGCTCAAGGTTCGTCCACCTGCTGCTCGTCCCTGAGACCACCGCCATCTGCTGGTAGGTGTCAGTACTGCATGCAGGGGTGCCCTCCCCGACCACCTGGACAGCCCGGCCCCCGCCTCCTACTCCCAAAATTGTCCCCAAAGGTGGGGAGGGCCTGGCCAGTCCAGCTCTCACAGAAAGACTTGCAGACAGTGTGGCTGTGCCATCAAATTCATCGAGATACAATTCACACACCCTGCAATTCACCTGTTTAAGGTATACAATTCAATGGATTTGTATTCAGTGTTGTGCGACCACCACCACCATCTATTCCGGAACATTCGCATCATCCCAGAGGAACCCCGTGCCCGTTGGCATTCTCTCCCCATTTTCCCCAACTCTCCCCAGCCCCTGGAAAGTACTAATCTACTTGCAGTCTCTGGGGATTTGCCAATCTGGACATTCCGTATAAACGGGATCACAAGCTCATGGCCCCCCGTGTCTGTCTCCTTAACTTAGCGTCCTGTGCTCAGGGTCACCCATGTTGTCACGCGTGTCAGCACTTTGCTCTCTGTATCACTGAGTGATATTTCTTTGCACGCCTATAGCACGTTTACCCATTCGTCAGCTGATGGGCATTTGGGTTCTTTCCACAACTGGGTGGCCCCGGGTAATGCAAAGAGGTGACTCTTTTGAAAAAAAAAAAACACGAGGCGTGCTGCATGATCAGACCCTTAGTCTGCCCTGCTGAGATGAGAAGAACTTCCGAATAGACTTGTTCTTGCACAGTGCGAGTTCGTGGAGGGAAGAAGTCAGAGAGAAACATGAAGAAAAAGGAACTTAGTCCTAAGAATCAAATGGGGGGGAGGGGCAGGTCTCTCCGGTGATACCTCTTCCTTCACGTGTCCAGCCAGCATCCCCCCGCCCCACTGGGGAGGGGTGGGGACTCTGGGATGGCCCCCTCCTCCCCAGAGAGCCGGGGAGGTTCACCCCACTCCACCCCGGCAGCCTTGCCCTGGCGAGGGGTCCGCGAGGCCGCAGGGCATGGGGGGCAAGCTTGGAAGCCAGCCGCCCTGGCCAGCTGCCACCTCGCCCGTGGTCCCCATCCATCCTGGCACCAGCTTCCCAGGGCACTAGTGGAGGTGGTGACCCCTGCACTGGGGTTGACTGAGGACCCCATGTCACTCTAGGTCACGAGTCTAGAGAACCGCCTATCGATCCTGTGCCGCTCCCCCTTGAAACTGCATGCCCCGGGCAAGTTTGCCCACCAAGCCTCAGTTTCTGCACCTGTGAAATGGGAGTAACGGGAGCACCTGTCCTATCTCATGCTGGACAAATGAGAGAAGCACAACAGTGCCCACATGAGTGCCGCTGCTCCTGCAGGGGGACAATTCCTGGGAACCTGACCTGCCGGGGGCTGGGGAGCCTTGTGCAGTCGTTGCCAAGATTTTCACGTATGTTGCACACGTGTGGGTGTGGAGCCCGGCCTCCTTGCGGGGCTGGCCAGTTGGGGCGGACCTTGGGCTCTCTGACCCAGGCTGGGGCAGGCGAACAGACAGCCATGGTCCGCTGGGGCCCAGGCCAGGCCCTCACCTGGTCCCCGCCCGCCCTGCCAGGTGCTGCAAGAGGTGAATGCATTGCCGGTGGCCTCTGGCTCTCACCTGGGCCGGCCCGGCGACCCTGCCCGGCAGCCATTGTTGGGGAGCAGGTGTGGGGAGGCGCCAGGTCCAGGCAGATCAGTCTGAGCCTCGCTTGCTTAGGCAAAGACAGGGGCTCGGGGCCCAGAGCCAGGGTGCAAGGACAAAAGAAGTAGGAGACTGCAGGGCCTGAGCTGATGCCGGTGCTCACAACCGTCCCCACAGGAGCATGCAGCTTCCGGAGGGAGGAGCTTTTGGGTGTTCTAGAACAAAGTAGACCTCTACACACACACACACACGCACACACACACGCACACACACACACACACGCATATTCAGATACACCCAGGAATAAGATACACTCATATAGGCATATATGTACACACAGGCACACACAGACACATGAACATGCACTCATGCGTGTGCAGGTGCACATGCCAACAGAGGAACACACATGTGCCCACGTGCACATGCACTCTCTCAGGAGGGCACAGACCCTTCTTCCCACGCACGCACTCGGGCGCACGCAGACACAAGGGTCCACACGCGTGCACATGCGTGCATCAGCCTGTCGTTTCCATCCACACAAATCACCTATTGGTCTAAAAAATATTAACTTTCAAAAAACCAGGGGATTGAAATGCATCTTTAGCCCAATTTCTCAGAAGACAATCTTCCACCTGAAGACGCACGTGATGCCAGCGATCTGGCACGGTCTGGCACGGACTTTGCCATCATCCGAGCAGGCAGGTTCTGGGGAAAGCGGCAAGTGTCTCCTCAGCCTGCATCACAACCCGTTAAATAACAAAGTAGATAAAATACTTTAATGTTTCAAGTACACCCCCCCCCCCGCGCTGTCCCCTGCTGCGGGGGACTCTCAGGCTGCTGGGGGCCCCGTGCTGGGGGGTCTTCCCTGCGGTGGTGGGGGCTCCTTGCCCACATGCACCCAGAGCGTCTTGCGTTCGCCACAGCCCCCTCCGAGCCCCGCCGCGGGCTCCGCAGGTCCCGGTGGACCCTCGTTCGAGAGCACCAGGAGGGGTGCGTGGTGACCCCGGAAACAGCAGCCAACTCAGGAGCAGGACGGGCCAGAGCCGGGCAGAGAGTCAATGACGAAACCAGAGCTCAGGGGACACTCGGGGCCTGGCTAGGCCACCCCAGCCATGAGCCTGGAGCCGGGCTGTGGGGCCGGGGCACGGGAGGGCTTCGCGGGCCCCCGGGGCCTCCCGGGCGGAGCGCCCCTGCCCGGGGCCCTGGCCGGGCCGCCCTGGAGCAGCCGCACCATCTCGTGGTCCTTGTGGTCCAGCACGCGCGGCAGGAACAGGCTGGACTTCTGCGTGCGGCGCGTCTTGAAGCCCCTGCGGGGCCGGCCCTTGCCGTTCACAGACACGTACCACAGTCTCTCGGCGCCGGGCTGCCGCCGCGCCCCCGCCCCGCCGGGCGCCGTCCGGTACAGCCGCGAGGCGTACGTGTTGTAGCCCAGCTCGTGGATCCGCTCCACGAACTCGCACTCGGCGCTGTAGTGCTCCTGCGGGACAGCACGCACGGTCAGTGGCCGCGGAGACAGCGCAGGCGGTGGGGGCGGGGGGCAGGGACGCCTCCTTCCTGACACCCTGACACCTCCCTCCCCTCGGCTGCACCTGCCACCCCCGGGCACTCCTGGCCCTCCACGCCTCTGCTCGGCCTGTGCCCTCCGCCCGAGTGCCTGGTGAACTTGGCCTGCAGCTCGAGCCTCTCCCTCTCTCTAAGGTTTCCTGAGCAACCTCCGAGGAGCCGGCCCCTCCCTGCTCCTCCTCTCTGGGCTCCAACAGCCCCCATACCCCGCCCCGAAGCCACCGGTGGCATCACCTGGCAGGGACGCGTGGGGTGGTCTGTGCAGCAGAGACGGGGCCTGCCAGCCCCAGTGCCCGGGCCGTCTGCCTGCGGCCTGAGGGTCCCTGCCCCACAGGTGGAATGAGGCCACAAACACAAAAGCCGGGATCCCAGTGTGAAGTACGAGGCCACAAACATACTGACACAGCCTTGGGGACAAGCCGGCCCAGGGCTTCCCACATCAGCGGATGTGCAGGAAAGTTACCTTGTCATCCAGATCAGTGGGGACCCTTGTCAGGCCTGGTATGGGTGATAGGTGGGCCCCTGCCCTCCCGAGCGCTCAGTGAAACTCGGAACTGGAGAAGCTGTCACCAACATCCCCAAGGCCTGGCTGGGGGAGGCCCTTTCCGGGGCTGCCTTGTGGGGTCTCCCCGGTCTGTGGGTGGGTGTGCCTTAAGCAGACCCAGCTGAGGTTTCGGTCCTGGCTACAGGCAGGTGGGAATGTTGAGGGCCACCTCCCCAAGGGGACCACCCTCAGGAGCTTCGTCATCCCAGCCAGAAAGGGCCGACCCCTCCCCAAACTGTGTGGGGCGTGGTGGGGTGCAGGGCAGGCGGAAGGATCCCCTCCCTTCTGGGCACTGGCCGAGGGGCAAGAGCAGGAGACCCTCGCAGTCTGTCTCCACCTGGGTGTGGTGTCCCCGAGGGGTGAGGACAAGGAGCAGCTACTCAGTGGCCCAAAGGGGGTCACAGGCTGGCCAGGCCCAGCCATGGCCCGAGCGGCATCTGGTCAGGCAGGGCCACGGAAGCAAGATGTGTTAAGCACCAAACCCTTTCCCAGGACATGGAGGCCACAGCAGGTAAGGACGGAAACCGCCCCGCCCCACAGCCCCACCCCTCCCAGCTCGCCTACTCCTGGGTGATGCCCAGGGCACCCCGGGTCCCCGTACGTTTGCCACTGCCCAAGATCATCCTCTACAGCTTACAATTGGGGAAACTGAGGCCAGGGGAGGTGTCAGGCCCCAAATCACAGAGGGATCAGACACTGTTCCTACCTACATGTGACCCCTACATAGCACGGGCTCAGGGGCTGTCTAGGAATGTCGGGTGGGCTCAGGGCAGACTTGCCCCAGCCCCTCGCACGGGACATGCTATGTCTGGGTCTGCTCCCACACTGGACTCTAGGAAACTCAGGGCAGCACTGACACTCCTCCCAGTCCCTCGACCCTGCGGGAGCTGCATCCTCCCAGGGCTGGGGAAGCCAGACGGTGGCTTCCTCTTTGCAGAGACACACGGAGGGGTGGGGGGTTGGAGGACATGGGTCTGTGAGCCTCAGGGGCCAGGGACCTAGCCCTCCTGGGTTCAGATCACTTGCTGCACCTTATCGGGGCACCTGGGGGCCAGAGTCACAGGTCCAGGACTGCCGGTGGCAACAGTTCCCAATAGCCATCCTGACCCTACTGTCCCACCCAGACCCTTTGTTTCACAAGTCCCTTCCCCAGGGCCACTTCCACCCATGGGGCACAAGGAGGAAGTGACTCAGAGATGCCTGGTTGACATGGTGACTTTTGAAGAGTCCTGGCGGGGGATAGGGAACAGGGCGGGGGGCACTTTCCAGGGGCGTTTCTGGGGAGAGAAGCGCTCGCTCCAGCCATCGGCAGCACAGGTGGAGGGGTGAGCAGCTGCGCAGGTTGTTTGGAGACCAAAAGGGGCTCAGAGATAGGAGGGGCGTGGGCTGCAGAATGGTGGGCGGAGCCAAGGCACCTGGGCAATCATTCCTGGGTGGCCAGGAGTTCCCAGAGGCCATGACACGAGCAGATTTGCTATTTAGGAAGGCCCTTAGACACCTGTGTAGCAGAGTGGACACAAGGCAAGTGGCCAGGACGCTGATTGGTGGATGAAGGAATGAAGGCAAGATGGATGGAAGGAAGGATAGGTGGACGGATGGATGGGTCAATAGATGGAAAGAAGAAAGGAAGCAAGGAAGGTTGGGGGGTGGAAGGATGGATACATGGAAGGAAGGAAGGAAGGAAGGAAGGAAGGAAGGAAGGAAGGAAGGAAGGACAGGTGGATGGAAGGGCAGATGGGGGAATGGATGCGGGAGAGGCTGCAGGCCAGTGGCCGAGTCCAAGGCTGCTGCAGTGTCGCAGGTGGGCAGTGACAAGAGCCTGCACTGTCTGTCGCTGGCCTTGAGAACAAGGCGGGGGGGGGTGTGGACCAAAGAGATCCAGGAGGTGCAGTCTGAGGACTTGAGATGGGTCAAAGTTGGGGCCGAGAGAGCAGGTGGGGTCTGCTGTGACCTCCCCCCACCAGGCTCACCTTGGGCTACAGGGAGTGCCTGGTGGGCGATGGCTAAGGCAGGGAGCTGGGGGGCACGTGGGGTGTGCCGCCCTCCACCTGGCGTCTCCGAGCCACCGGGACTTTCAGGGGAGTGACTCCAATCAGTGAAGGGAGGTTGGGGCTGGTACGGGGGTGTCGGGGTGCAACGGTCGCTGCCCACACAGCAGATGGGCTGGCCTGCGCGAGGTGGGACGTGGGCGGAGGGCAGAGCCCCGGGACTCAGGTGACACAGGCAGGGCGGGGGACAGCACTCCCAGTGAGCTGGCAGCACTCAGAAGGAGGGCACCTGGTGGCAGGTGACAGGATCTGCCCCCGGGCTACCCTGCCTCCCAGGTCAACTGCAGGGCGGGGAGACCTTCTCTGCTGGGCACTCTGGAATGTTCCACACCATCCAGCTAGACTGCCTGGCTACCCCCGCACTCACCCCCCTGCCCCTGGGGGCTGGGAGCCTCTCTCTGTTTTCCCTCAAAGCCAGGACCATCAGTGCCCAGGGGCGGAAGCCACACGTGGGCTCCGAACCATGGGACCCCTCAGGCCGTGCTTTCTTCTGTCCCCCAAAATCCTGGGCCCCCGTGGGAAGAGATGGTAGAGGCGTTTGTCTTCCCCTCCTGAGCCAGGAAGTGAAGTCCCCAGTGGGGGCGGAAGTCCTCCTCTGTGGTCAGTAAGACGTACCGTCACTGAAGGCCAACAAGGCCCCCTCCCTGCAGTGCCCCTCCCCCCAAGGAGAGCGGTGGTTGCGGGGGGGTCTATTTCAGGGATATAAAGTCAGGCCCCCTCACACGCAGCCAGGGCACGGGGTCCCTGGAGTCTAGAAAGCCCCAGCCCACCTCAAGGAAGACTCAGACCCCACCCTGGGCAAAGGGCCCCTTCTTCTACACCAGGACTGGCGCGTGAGACTCTGCAAGAAGGCACGGGGCAGCTGGCACCCAAGGGTCCTGCGCCAGAGGCAGCTTCTAGCGAATGCCCCCGGCCAGAGGAAACAAACGGTGCATCCCAGCTTTTGCGCTTCCTTTAGCGAAACAGCTGAAAATTTTGGGATGAAATGATTGGCTCACAGGAGGGGCTGCCCCACCTCAGCGTGGGCAGGAGGGTGTTGGCGTGTGTCCCTTGCAGGCACAACTGAAGAGAGAAGTGACCGCGGGAAGACGTCCGAGGCCGCGTCCTCAAGGTTGCTGCGTGGATGGAAACCTCTCCTTGCCCAGGGAGGCATCGGGCGACTGCACGCAATAACTAGCTGGAGGCAGCACATTTCCTGGTCACACGTGTTTCACTCCATGTCTTCCTCGTCCCTGCCCCTTGTGGGGAGGACACTGCCAATGCCAGAGTCTCGGGACCCTTTTTGGTAACATGGAGCCCCAGGCAGTAGATAGACCAGGTTCCAGACCCAGGTTTGAGGCCCCTGTGTGCGGGGCCATGGGTCCCACTTCCCTTCCCCTCAGTTCCTTCCTAAGAACGGCCGGCTCTTGCCTTTCCACCCTGGGGGGGACTGGCTGAACGGGCCCAGCTCCCTGCTGCCCTCGCTCCCCGGGGCTCTCTGGCGGAGCCAACCGACACCTCGTGCCCCCACCACCCCAGGCTGGCTTGCATTCATTTATTTCACTGGAAATTTGAGGGACAGTCTCTTTGGGGCTCTCCGCTACCCTCAGGGAAGGATAACAGTGATGACAACAAGGTTTGAGGGAAGGTTTTCTAACCCGGCCCCGCTGGAGGACACAGGGCACATCCGACCCCGGCAAGCTCCTTCCTCCCCAGGGCTGTGCTCCTAGTCACTCAAGCCGGCACAGCCTGTAGCAGAAGCAGCCAGAAGAGCACTGGGAGTGGAGTCACAGGCCGGGGCTCTGGTCCCAGCTCTGGGCAAAGGATTCTACTGCCCACATTCCCTCTGTGCCCTGATGTCACATCCCAGTGACACGGCTGCCCCATCAGTGCCTGCCCGCGCGAGAGACTGGACTCACCGAAGCGTAGAGCCGGCCCCTCTTGTTCATGGCCAGGTACCGCCCGGAGAAGAGCCCCCTGATGGCCACGATGCCCACCTCCACCGCCGTGATCTCCAGGATGCCTGGGGAGAGTCGGGAAGGCTCGTCACTGCCGCCGTCCCCGACTCAGCCACAGAGGTGCCCGCTGAGCACCAGCTGGCCCTGCCCAGGGCCCTGCGGCTCAGGGGCGGCAAGGACCATCCCCCCAACGGATAGGGGTGGAGAAGGGGAGACGTCGGGGATGCCTTCTCCAAAATGAGCAGTTCCAACCTGGGAGGGAAGCAATACAATTGACATTCACGCTCTGTGCCAGGCATCATAGTCCCGCACGACATGTGGTCTCCCCACAACCTTGCGAGCTAGTGCCATCGTCCGCCAGCCGAGCAGGAGCACGCTGCGTCTACTAAGGTTAAGCGACCAGCCCAGGAGCCGAGTGGGGATTCAAACCTGGGCTGCAGACAGGGGAGCCCGAGCTCTCCAGTTACACTCTGGGGACCGCAGTGCCCAGTCCCCCTGGGGAGGGAGAGCCGCCCCTGATGACGTCAGTTGATAATCTAATCCTCCCAGCGCAGAGAGAGTGCCCCAGTGGAGCGGGAGCAGATAACAGCACAGGGCAGGGGGCCTGGAGGTACCAGATGTGCGGCAGAAAGCCCTGGAGCTCACAGAGGGACGCTGGCGGGTGTCACCCGCTGCTAGTGTAAGAAAGTTTAGGTCTCCCCTAACTCCTTTCCTTCTGGACACGGAGGGCTGTTGGGGTGGAGGAGGGGCTGCGACAAAGGCCCAGATGGGGCCATAGCCCGTGACAGTGGCCGAAGGGGTGGGGGCGACTGCTTGTATCCCCTCCAGGGGTGCCTTTGGACAGAGCGTGTTTTTGGTTGACATCCAGCCTGGCTGCCATCACCGGATCACCAATCACCAGATCACTGGATCAAACACGGGTCTGCTAGAGATTCTGCTCAAGCCTGCAGGGGATGCAGGCCGCTGGCCTCTGGCGTCCGGGGCGCAGGCCGGGGGGACTCCGAGGTTCTGGCCTGGGGACCAGCGAAGCGCCAGTCTGGAGGCAGGGCAGCTTGGCTGCTGGCATGCACCCGCCTCCACCTCCCGGCAGCGCGCCCTGGTTGCACCTGGAAGTTCGAATGCCCTGCGAGGGGGAGCCTGGATTTGGACAGAGCCCAGGTGCCTCTTCGAGATGAGTCCTGCGCACCAGGACCCTGGCGACAGCTAGTCCCCAGCATGCGGCTCCGGCGGCAAACCGCCCCCGCCCCCAGACGCCTTCGCAGGGCTGCGGCTTTCCTCCAGGAAGCCGAGGTTTCCCGCCGCCGCCTGAATCGCCCGCAAGCTTCCTGCGCCCCGGCCGGAGCAAAGCGCGGCAAGCCGCAGCGGAGGACCTCCGCGGCCCTGGCCACACTCGCACGCTCCGGACTGCGGTCCTTATGGGCCCTGAGCTCCGCTCTCTTGCTCCCCACTGAGGGCTCAGCTCGGGCCCCAGGTCCCTAGACCATGGAGCCTCCTGGGCTCCCGCGGTGAGCGCAGTCCTGGCTGCGGGCCCTGGATGCAGGGCAGGCTGTGCATCGGCACCACAGACCCAGGCGGACGCCGCCCTGCGCTCCTGACCCGCATCCTGCGGGCCCGCACCCAGCGGCGGGGCCCCCAACCCTTCCTGAAGCTCTGCGGTCCAGGGCGGGGCGGGAGGGGTGCAGATTCCAGCGCCAGGAAAGGAGTGTCCGTGGGTGGCGGCAGCCCAGGCACCCAGCTGCGCCAGGCAAGCGTCCTCGCGCAGAGGCGGTCGGTCGCACGGGGCGGCCACCTGGGCGGCCGCGAGCAAGCGTGGAGGGCGGAAGGGATGGCGGGGCGTCCAGGGGTCGGCAGGAGGAGGGGAAGTCGTCAAAATAATAAAGAGGACGATAAATGCCTTGTCCAGATCCTTTTCTCCGACAAATTCAAAGGGCTTAAACTTGTCAGCGCAGCCAAATGCGGCCAAGCCGGAGCCCCGAGCCCGCCTGCCTCGCGCCCTCTTGCACCAGCGGTCCGGGCGGGCAGCGGACTCTGACAGCTCGCGCCGACCGCGGGCAGCGGCCACGGGTGCCCTCCCCGGACGCGAGTCCCCTCCCGCCAGCTCCCGGCGGACCCCAGCGCGCATTCTTCTCCCGGGACGGACGCGGAGAGAGAGGAGCGGACGCTGGCGTTCGCCCCGCGGCAGCGGGAGGCGGCCAGTCCTCCGGACACCCTCGGCGGGCACTGGCCGCCCCTTCCCCTGGGTCCCGGCCCCTCGGGGCGCCGCCCCCCTCGCCCGCGGCCGGCACTCACTGTAGGCGCTGTTCTCCAGGCTGCCGTTGACGCGGCCGCCCGGGTGCAGCTGGAGGTGGAACTTGGTGGCGCAGTAGAGCCTGCGGCGCCGGGGCGCCCCGCCGAGGTGTTCGTAGACGCCGCCGCGGCCGCCCGCATCGCGCCGCAGCCGCGCCCCGGGGCCCGCCGAGGGCCAGCCGGGCTCCAGCAGGCTGAGCAGCAGCAGCCAGATCAGGCCCATCGCGGCATCGCGCCCGCCCCGCGGCGGCGGCGGCTGCAGGCGAGCGCGGCGCCCATGGAACGGGCGGCAGCGGGGCCGCGCAGGGCGCTCGAGCCGGCTCCCGCGCGTGGCGGTGCGGAACGCGCTCAGCGGAGAGAACTAGGATGGACTCAAGAGCATCGATGGTGCGAGGGGGGAAAAGTAGGTGGGAGGTTAAAGAGGTGCAGCGAAAAGGATAAGAACGGGGTCGAGAAAGCAGAGGCAGATAGATGGGGAGAGAGAGAGATCCTTTAATGTTCACCGGGGAGCGGTGAAGTTTCCGTTGCTGCGCCAAGCGCTGGAAGGAAGGACGGTTCGGCAACAAAAGGCCGACGTGGTCCCCGGGGGAGGCGCGGGCGGGGCGGGGAGCCCGCGGGGCACGGGTTCGGGCCGGGCGCCGCCCGCGCACCTCGCTCCCGCGCACCGCCGTCGGGCCGCGGCTCTGCTCGGCAGCGCGCCCCGCGCCCCAGCACGCCCTCCCGGCTCTGAAAGGTCCCTTCCCCGCCCCTCCCCCGCCCCTCCCCCAGACCAATTATGCCTCCGAAAATTATAGACCGAGGCCTTGAGGCGGCCGCCCCAGGCCCTGTCACCCCCTCCCGCCCCCATCAATCCCCTGCACAATGGGAGCGCCGCCGATGACTGATGTCCGTGAAAACAACTTGCGGGGAAGTCGAGCTGACAAACGCCCATTAAAGGCGGCGCATAATGAAGGGGCGCGGAGGGCAGCGGAGGGGAGGGTCTGGGGCGCGGGCGCGCGTGGGGGACTCCGGGCTTGCGTCTGCGCCGGCGCTCCTGCAGGAGCGGCGTGGGCGCGCCGGCCGGCCGGGAGGCGCTTTATCCTGTCCCGAAGGGCAGCCGGTGGCGACTGACCGGATGGGCACGTTTGTGCACATCGCGCGTCGGGAGGTTCCTGCCCAGAGAAGGGGCTGGGGAGGTGGCGGCAGGGACGGGAGACAGAGCCCGAGTCCTAGAGGGGAGAGGCGCAGGTTGAGACAGAGAGAGAACAGCGGGGACAAGGGGAATGAGAAGGAGGAGAGAGGAGAGGGAGAAAGAGCTAGAGACCAGCGAGCAGGAGGATGCCCAGAGGGAGAACAGGGAAGTCTGGTGGCCACAGCCAGAAGCACAAAGGCGGAGGAGTGTCCCAGCCTGCTGGTCCCTCAGCAGCGTAGATGCCATAATGGCACCCTGGACTGCGTGGGGGTCAGGGTGCATCCCAGGGGGCCCTGTCTGTTGGGGCCCCCAGTGAAGAGGGGCCTCGGACAGTGTTGGGAGAGCCACATTCTCGATTCTTCTCTTGCTCCCCAGCCTCTGCCCCATTGGCCCCCGGCCAGCAGGCTTTGGCAAAGGGGCTTTGTCTCCCAGGGTGGGGCTCCGTGGGGTCCAGTGGCCGAGGCCACAGCCTTGGCTCCAAGTTGACGCGGGGCTCTGGGATGAGCCAGGTGGCTGGCATCCCCATACCTCATGTCTGCATCAGGATTTGGGGTCCCGGCAAGTGTGCAGGGCACCAGGGGACTCCTGTGAGCTAAGCACTAGCGCACGCCATTGGGACATTTCTAGCCAAGGCCTAGAACAAACAGGGTAGCATGTGAGCACACTGGGTACCCCAAGCAGTCCCCCAGCACCTCAGTCCTGGTCAGGGTGTCTGGTCACTGCCCCAGGGCTGGCTGGCGAGAGCCATCGAACTGTCCAGAGGCCAGGCCACCGAATTGCTAGAGACGGGGGCTCTTAGTGATGCTTTACAGGGGACAGAGGAAGGCCCAGGGATGCCCCAAGGACAGAACCAAGAGAAGAACACACCCAGTGGGGCTCCATGTGCGGACCGGGGCGGGGACTTATCGATCGTGACCTTCGGAAGAGAGCACAGTAGCAGCACATGAGGGACGCCCCCGTGCCCTACACGCTCCAACTCGCTTATGCTCGTCAGCTGCCTCCCAGCGCTGTGGTCGAGATTAGACGAGAAGAAATGCGGCGTTCAGCACAGAGCCACGCACAGAGAGAAGTGTGCAAGACATTCAGAGCTAGAGACAGAAAGAAGCAGAGAAGAGACAGAATGAAACCCTAAGATCGAGAGAGCAGAAGCAGTCCGCGGGGGCTGGGGGAGGACAGGACTTTGGACGCCCCTTTCCTACGTAGGCCTCCATCCCCTCTGTGGGTCCCCCTCTGCCCCTCTGGAAAACTGGGAGGATCCAGAAAGATCCGACTGGAGCCATCTGGGTTTGCAGCCCCCCTCCTGCTCCATGCTGGGCCCCCAGCAGTTCCCAGGGAGACCCCTGCTCCGGTCTCCAGCCCCCCACCCTGTTTGTAGTGAGCCTCTGCCCACCTCCGGGCTGCCTGTGCCCTAGAACCTGGGGGGAGGGCCGGGGCTGCCGCCCCCCAGCAGGGGTCCGAGGGGGACCCCCTTCCACCGGAGGGAAGCTGCAGAGGGCAAGAGGCTCTGCTAGGCTGGTCCATGCCGGGCCCTCAGCCTCTGGCCCGCAGCCGCCGGCGCACACTCCTAGATGAGCGAGCAAATGGCTCAGCCACTTCTTGCCGCGTGGCGATGGCACATAGCAGCGCCCCTCTGAGATTCGTTTCTAGTGAACACGATGCCCCAAATTCAGTGCCAGGAACTCAGTGGAGTCACCCTGCCAAGTCCCCCGCCAGCGCATCGGCACAGAGCGTGCCCCATGGAGGGCGCCCACCGTTTATCACGCAAACCTCGGTGTCCGTGGGAGTGAGGGGGCACAATGCGCAGCTGTGCTGGGACAGCAGGTGCCCCCACCCCTAGCTCGAGGTCCCTCCTGGCAGGCCTGGCTTACGGTGGGGCATTCTCGTGAGTGCAATTCCCTGCAGCAGCTGTGCTCTCTGGCCATGCTTTCTACTCCCCTATGGGCCCTGGCGACCCTTCCATCCATCCCCAGCCCCCAAGTCAGAAGGAGTTGCCTGAAACCCAAAGCCGCCTTCTCCCGCTGCCAGTGGACTCAGTGTTAGCGGGACTTTGGGGCCCCTCGGGACCCTGGCCACCTGCCCACGCCCCAGTCCACTACCCACATCGTCCCGGCTGGGCCTCTGGGCCTCTGCTCGCCCGCCCGGTGAGTTCTTCCTCCTCATCTAAACCTCCCCGCCTTTCTGGCCCAGGAAGCCCCTGACCCCTCCTGGCCTGTGCCCACTGCCAGGCCCTCAGGCGCTTGGGCCCCGCCGAGGGAGGGGCAGGGGTCTCGTCCGTCCGCCGAGCCTGCCGGCCTGCGCTGAGCCAAGGCACCCACGCAACAGCGACCTCTGCCCCTCCCCGTCTGGTGCAGACCCGGGTGGGGGGTGCAGAATGTGGTAATAGCGACCCTGTTAATTGCTTCCAAATGGTCAGCTGCAGCCACTTGACTAATTGGTCTCTTCCCGACCCCTGCCGGACACCCCCAGGCCTGGCCCAGGCCCTCCTCCCACCAGCCCCAGAACGGCTGCCCGGTACCCCCCACCCCCGCCAGAGCCCCTCTCGGCCCTCCTGGTACCCAGGCCCCCACCTCCAGCCCCTATCCCTGGACAGAGGAGTCCAGGCCCCCACCTCCAGCCTCTTCCCCTGGACAGAGAGCTGAGGGAGGATGGAGGGCAGGGGACAGTGTCCTGTGGGAGGGGTGCCAGTGGCTGGCAGTGACTATGAAAGTTGGTGCTCACTCCTGGCCCCAAACTCACTCTCACTGTGCCCCCCGAGAGCAGCTGTGTGCTGCGGGTGGGCCCCTGAAACCCGGGAGCGCCCCTGCTTAGCCCCACCTCACAGATGGGAAAGGGAGGCTCAGAGAGGTGAAGCGACTTGCCCAGGGTCACACAGCTGGGCGATGAGGTGAGGTCACGGAAACCCCCTGTCCACCTCAGCTGGGGGCACTTGGCTCTTTGTCCCTCACAGGCTGTGGGGTCTGGGGAAGTCGTGCCCTCTCAGTCCCCGCCTGAGCTTCCGGAACGTCCTGGAATGTTCACACCAGCCGGCCGGCGCCCTGCCTGCTGGGTGCTGCCTCCCGCTAGACCAGCCGAACCCCCGCCCGGGAGCAGGTGGGCCAGCGCAGGCCACAGCCCGAGGAGGGGCCCTGCCCGGGCCGCACAGAGTCGGGAAGGCCTCTTCAGCCGGCCGGGGCTGCGGGTTGGGCTTGTTTGACCGTTTTTCTCAGCAACCCTCCTCCGGACATAACCCACTATGTTCCGTTTTCTCTTCCCGCTCGAGTGCCACCTCCACGGCCTGCAGTGGAAACCGTGCTGCACAAGGGCCCCAGGACGGGCCAGGGCCACCGTGCCTGGGAGGCAGAGCCTGGCCCAGCTCGGCCAGAGCCCACCAGCTGGGGCGGGGGAGGGGCCCTAGCTGGCTCCCTGCTGGGGTCCTTCTTAGCGCCAAATGTCCCAGGGGTCCCAGGGGAGGGGCTGCTGTCCCCCGGGGCCTGTCCCAGCCCAGGACCTGGGGCTGGGCTGGGCTCCAGAATGGGGCCGAGGCCGGGAGAGCCACGAGGGCACAGTGGCCCCCAGGGGGACGGCAGGCAGTGAGAGACCCAGAGGGGTGGCTCATGGCCCGGGGCCCGGGGGTGTGGCTGCCCAAACTGAGTCTTTTTTCTTTAAATTTTATTTTTTTTATTTTAAAGAGCTTTATGGAGATGTAATTCACATGCCACACAAGGCACCCAGCACGGTGTGCGGCTCAGTAGTTTTCAGTGTGTTCACGGAGTTGTGCAACTATCACGCAAGGAATGTTAGAACCTTTCACCACCCGGTAAGGAAACCTCCTCGCCCTTTAGGGACCACTCCCCACTCCCTCCCCTGCCCCCCATCCCTCACCCCTGGCAACGTTAATCTGCCTCTGTGGCCAGTCTCCGGTTCTGGGCATTTCACACGGGCCGGGCCGGAGCCTGTGGCGCGTCCTCCCGTCTGGCCTGTCTCGCTGAGGTTCCCCACGCTGAGCGAGAGTCAGGCCTTCATTCCTCCTCACGGCTGTGTGCACAGACCGCGTTCCGGGTACCGCTCACCCACCCAGCTCACCCACCCTTGGGCGTTGGGGTGGTTTCCTGGCTATTCGGCTGTCAGGAAGCCCCAGGCTGAGACTCACAGCAGGG